GTTATATCCTAATTTGACTTTGGTGCAGGTCATTTTGTTCTTCACATTACCGTCTCTGGTAAACACACACTATATCAAATAAAATCAATGTTTATTTGTCACATGCACAGGATACAGAAGGTGTAAACGGTACAGTGAAATGGTTACTTGCATAGTGGAGTCTTTTGTTTAGACATGGAGCTAGCTAGCTAGCTAAACAATGAACCATAATCCCAACTCATAACGTTACTACACTGCGTGAATCTACAGGGAGCTAAAGCTAACCAACTAGGTTCAATGTTAGCTAGCTAACTAACATTAGGCTATAACTAGCAATGCAAATGGTTCTGAGATACAAATAATATTACTACACAGATCATACACGTAACGTTAGCTAGCGAGCCAGCCAGCTAACGTTAGCTAGCGAGCCAGCCAGCTAACATTAGCTTGCTAGCTAACAGTATGCTTGAACTTGCAATGAAAATGACTTTCTGACAAAATGTTAAACTTATAATATCTGAAAATGTACCTAGCTAGACTCTCTTACCCGTATACATGGATGAACGCTTCTCCCTCTGTCACGGATGCTATGGTTGCCCTTAGTTTGAAGATGTAATCCGGAGACAGGTGTTTTACATTTGCAATCAAACACTTGAATTTTTTCCATCTCGTTAGCTATCATACCCTGCTTCTACTGGGTATTCCACTGATTTCAAACTCGGTCCTCCAGAAAGTGGAGAACCTTAGCAATACTTTTGCAGTTCTTCATGATATCTCTCAAAAAAGCTGTGTTAGAAAGGATTACCTACACATATTGAGCAGCTCATGTTATAGACAAAAGCGTGTTACATGGCAGACCAATCCTAACATCTCTCGCCATGTCCAGACCATCCATTATCTCAGTCAATCATGGCTAGTTCCAAACTGCATCTGGAAGCAACGTCAGCAAAATAACTGTTTGTCGGGAGCTTCATGAAATGGGTTGCCATGGCCGAGCAGCCACACACAACCCTAAGATCACCATGCTGGTTGGTGTAAAGCTGTCACGGTTGATGTGGATGCGGTGGTGAAGTCAGGCGCAGGACACAGCGGATAAGTCAAAACGACTTTACTGAAGTTATTGAACAACATACAAAATAAATGGCCTCGAAACACCGGAGGCGAACTAATACGCGAATTGCGTAAAAACACTCACAAACAAAAGTACCGAACCTCGAAACAAACGACAGGCGGACAATAACACACAACTACAAAACATAACACAGGGAAACTTATAGGTGACATAATCATGACAGAATACGAAACAGGTGCACTAAACTAGACATGACAAAACAAACATCGAAAACATCAAACGGTGGCAGCTAGTACTCTGGGGACGACGAACGCCGAAGCCTGCCCGAACAAGGAGGAGGAGCAGCCTCGGCGGTATTCGTGACAAAAGCTTGCCGTCATTGGATTCTGGAGCAGTGGAAACGCGTTCTCTGGAGTGTTGAATCACGCTTCACCATCTGGCAGTCCGACGGATGAATCTGTGTTTGGCGGATGCCAGGAGAACGCTACCTGCCCGAATGCATAGTGCTAACTGTAAAGTTTGGTCTGGGGCTGTTTTTCATGGTTTGGGCTAGGCCCCTTAGTTCCAGTGAAGGGAAATCTTAACGCTACAGCATACAATTACATTCTAGACGATTCTGAGCTTCCAACTTTGTGGCAACAGTTTGGGGAAGACCCTTTCCTGTTTCAGCATGACAATGCCCCGTGCACAAAGCAAGGTCCATACAGAAATGGTTTGTCGAGATCGGTGTGGAAGAACTTGACTGGCCTGCACAGAGCCCTGACCTCAACCCCATCGAACACCTTTGGGAAGAATTGGAACGCCGACTGCGAGCCAGGCCTAATCGCCCAACAGCAGTGCCCAACCTCACTAATGCTCTTGTGGCTGAATGGAAGCAAGTCCCCGCAGCAATGTTCCAACATCTAGTGGAAAGCCTTCCCAGAAGAGTGGAGGCTGTTATAGCAGCAAAGGGGGGACCAACTCCATATTAATGGCCATGATTTTCGAATGAGATGTTCGACGAGCAGGTGTCCACATACTTTTGGTCAGGTAGTGTAGGTGCTGAAATATGGATAATGCTGCATGGTGTGATGGTTGATTGGTATTACATTTTTGATATGGTCACGATAATTGAATGTGTTTGCGTGAGGCATTGGCTGGACACGTGAGGTAGACTATGTGTGTGGGTGTTGTCTGTTGCTTCTTACCTTTCAATACTTCTCTCTGTATGTATATGGGGGTACTTGTGAGCCTTTCAGAGAGAAGCTGTGTGTGCGTGTGTGTGTGTGTGCGTTGGTGCCTTTGTCCATGTGTATGTGGGAGAGAGATATCATATTTCATGTCTGTAGTTTGAATTGAGGAAGTCTCTCTCATGTCAGAGCGGCAGCATCAGTTTCCGCTGTGGCTGAGGCTCTAAAGGAGGAAGAGATTAGCGGAAGGGGAGCACTTCCTTTAAACCAGCCACTTCGACCGCCCCTTTCTCTCCCTGGTGCTCTCTCCGTTGCCTATCCCCTACAAACACACAGAAGCCTTAGACTGAGGCCTTGGGTAACTCCCCTGGATAACCAGCTACTGAAGTCTGAAGAGCCACGCTTAGTGCTGAACACACTCTCTCCTCCACAGAAAGGACAGAGTAGCTTCACCGGCTCAAGCCGAGCCAGCCTCAGGTCAACTGGACCCTGAGGACTAACATATCGTGTGTTTGTGCTACTAGTGCTGGTAGCAGATCTCTCTGTCTCTTTCCTGGCCTGACAGGGTCACACAGCTCTCAGTACGGTAAGCCACACAGCAGCCTTCTACACACACATGCACGCACGCGCACACACACATCCAAATGTTTATGTTGGATGGATCTGTTATTGGCAGATATTTCAGTAATGTTTCACGGGAGGGATGGGGAGGTAGCCAAGTGGAAATATACAATGGGTACTGGATAGGATAACATTGTGTGTTTTAGAGTGTCTGTTATTAACAGCAAGTTTTGATTTAAGAGGTCTTCCAAGGAGAAGGACAAGTCTGAGACACTGTGTGTGTGCGTGCGTGCGTGTCAGAGGGTGTTGAATGTGTGTGTTAATACAACTGAAATTATTTGGTATGGAGGGTGCCCCATGTGCCTCCAGCGTGCCTTGCACCTGTTCTTGTCCTTCCTCTCTCTCTCTCTTTCTCTCTCTCTCTCTCTCTCTCAGCTGGGCAGGAAGGAAACCTTGAAGGGTGCTGGCAGCATGCCATGTTAAATTAAAAGTCCAATGTCTGTGTGTGATGGTCACCACAGAACTTTCCATGTGTGTTAGTGATTTTCTGTGAGTGTTGTGTGTTTTAGACGGATGGGGGGAAGAGAGAGGAGGAGAAAAAGAGGAAGAGAGAGAAATTGTGTAGCACAGCTGTCTTGCTCCATCTCACACTGACTGTTCCTGTTCCTGTTTGAGTCAGTCAGAGACAGAGGCTGCAGTCCAAATTCAAAGTAGATAACCCTCGGCCCTAAACCCTCAGCCCTTGAGTGACATTTTACATCGTCACATCCGAGTGTACCTTAAATGTCGCTTGACCAAGCGAGGGAGAGTGATGATCAGAGAGGCAACGTCCTTGGTGGAAATCTTGAAATTTAGCTAAAAAACAACCAACCTAAAGCTATTAATGTGCCTAGCAAGCTAACGTAGCTAGCTAGTACTCCTCAGTTAGCTAGCGAGCTATAGTTACACATATCTGGCTAGGTAGTTTTATAGTTTGGTCATTTATTCCAATACATTTCAGAATATGTTTATGAAGCTAGCTACGTTTTATAGGGTCCTCACTACGAGACTAAGCCAATTTGCCAACGCTAAAATCAATGTCATCTATATATATTTTTTCATACTTTTGTCTGACACGCCGAAAATGCAGCCATGTTGATTAAATTTGACACTTCGCGACCACTGGCGTATGACACGTGACTACAGTTTGCATTGAAGTGATCAAAGTTCTTCACTCGATCCCTCAAGCTAAGTCAAGGCCTACTGTTGCTCTGATTGGCTATGGTGCACCGGTCTGCTTAGACTCTGGTCCTGGAAGAGACAGATGTATTTATTAGGTTTTATTTACTGCAGTGTCCATTAATTGTCCAAACGCACGGCCACTTTCCCACTCTATATTGCTATAGAATCTTCTCAAATGCCTTTGTATACATAATTCCCAAACATTCTAAGAATTTATGAAAAGATGAAAATGGCCAAGTCTAAGTACTCTCTTGTCAGAATTTTTTTTAAAAAGTGTCATATTCTTCCTGGGGGTGTATATGAATGGATTTAACCAGATTTAATGTTGCTAAAATACTGTCAGTTCCACTTTAACAATATTGAGTGAGTTGATGACAGACTAGATGGATGAAATCAGTGATCGTTGTATTTCCCTGCATGCCTGTCTGTCTGAGGTAGATATTTATTCTCTTCCAATCATTTTTGAATGTTTTATTCTTCCTTCAATCATATTCCTACTCTTCTGCCCCACCCACCTCCTGTCTCTGTGGCAATGTGGTGTGTCTCCATGGTGATGCTCGGGTGAATTGCTGCCTCTGGTTGATCATGAGGTGTCATGAGACTCATCATAGTCACTCTCTCTCTATTGCATCCTTGTTCTCCAATATCTATCCACATTTATGTAATTGTATTCTACTCCACCCTATTCTCTCCCTTCCTTTCCCATGTCCTCTCTCTGCTTCGTCCCTAGACTGGTTCCCATCAACCTCCTATAAAAACATCTGACTACGGTTTCTGATCTGTCTCTCTCTCTCTCCAGCTCCTCTCATGCTGACTGAGAATGGATAACATGCAGGACGGGGTTCAGATCGGAGACAAAAAGTTCATCAGCAAGTAAGGCATGCACACACACACATACGCCACAGATGCACACAGACAGTGTGAACAGATGTGTGTAATAATACAATGTTGGTAAATGAATTGATTGTTGTCATTAAAGTTGTATTTCTGTCTTCAGGGCAACAGTCCTGTCCCACCTCAAAACCTACAACCTCTATTATGATGGACAGAACCTGCAGTTGAGACACAGAGAGGTATCGGTAGTGTGTGTTGGTGTGTATGCGTGTGAGCGAGAGTAAGAGCGAGAGTCTTTCCATTTTTGTCAATCACTGTCATAAATCGTGAAATAGCTGCACCCTCCTATTTCACCTCTCTTTATTGCATGTATGCTTTTTCTTTTCCTCCTCTCTTTGTTTATTTTTCCCTTTCTCACGCACCCTCTCTCTCAAACCTTTGCTGTTCAATTTACCCCTCACTGACTCAATAATTCACCCTGCCCCAAAGGGATAATAACTGTCAGTGTTTTTGTGTGTGTGTGTATGTGTGTGTATTGATCATGGTAACTCTGTCTCTACAGGAGGAAGGGGAGCTGATCGTGGAGGGTTTGCTGAATATCTCCTGGGGCCTGCGTCGACCTATTAGATTGCAGATGCAGGACGATCACGAGAGAATCAGGCCCCCTCCCTCCTCTACCTCCTGGCACTCCGGCTGTGCCCTGGATAATCAGAGGTAGGGAGTGAGCTCTGGTTACCATACCATCAACACATAGAAGGCAACATATAGAAACATGTACTGCGTATAGTATGTATGAAAAGTATACACTGAGTTTACAAAACATTAAGAACACCTGCTCTTTCCATGGCATAGACTGACCAGGTCAATCCAGGTGAAAGCTATGATCCTTTATTGATGTCACTTCAGTGTATATGAAGGGGAGTAGACGGGTTAAAGAAGGATTTTTATGCCTTGAGACAATTAAGACATGGATTGTGTGTGTGCCATTCAGAGGGTGAATGGGCAAGACAAAATATTTAAGTGCCTTTGAACAGGGTATGGTAGTAGGTGCCAGGCGCACCGGTTTGTGTCAAGAACTGCAACGCTGCTGGGTTTTTCATGCTCAACTGTTTCCCATGTGTATCAAGAATGGTCCACCATCCAAAGGACATCCAGACAACTTGACACAACTGTGAGAAGCATTGGAGTCAACATGGGCCAGCATCCCTGTGGAATGCTTTCGACACCTTGTAGAGTCAAAGCCCCGATGAATTGAGGCTGTTCTGAGGGCTCAATATTAGGAAGGTGTTCCTTATGTTTGGTATACTCAGTATATGTTTACATTTTATTGTTATTACCGTTTGTCCTGAAGCCATGCTGTGAGCCAAAAATAATTTCTTAACTGATAATAAAGTATTGCTATAACATAATGATTATCCTAAAATGTCATACTCATCAACGGCCAAGCATATTTATTTCATTTTGTCTCACCAGGATAGTGTCTGTGTCAGTGGGCATGTGGTTGACATTTTATAGAGTTTGGTTTGGTGAATGTTTGTCCTGTGGCCACCATACTGGTATATCTGTATTATGACCTAGATTCAGGGTTTCTAGTTTACTCTGACCACACGTTATTGTCACCGATCAGATTACATAGAAACCATATTTCACTGTTCCTCTGCCAGTGTCAATTACGCACTGATGTAGTATAACTTTGAAGAGAAGATAATGTGTCATAAATAAGGTCAGCCTATTAAATATGGGAATATTCATGTTTGCCTTATGTCAGTAGCAATGAAGGTACCCAGCAGATCCCGCCCACCATAGAAGTGACAGAGCACGAGAGCCAATCAGAGGACAGCATTGTGAAGGAGGATGAGGAAGAAGGTGGGTCTTATAGAAGACTAGTCTGAAAACCTTCAGCTTGTTATTATGGAAAACCCAATTATTTATCCAACATCAGATACAGTGGCTTGCGAAAGTATTCACCCCCCTTGGCATTTTTCCTATTTTGTTGCCTTTCAACCTGGAATTAAAATTGATTTTTTGGGGGGGTTGTATCATTTGTATGCACTGGATAAGAGCGTCTGCTAAATAACTAAAATGTAAATTTGATTTACACAACATGCCTACCACTTTGAAGATGGAAAATATTTTTATTTGTGAAACAAGAAATAAGACAAAAGAACAGACAACTTGAGCGTGCATAACTATTCCCCCCCCCCCCAAAGTCAATACTTTGTAGAGCCACCTTTTGCAGCAATTACAGCTGCAAGTCTCTTGGGGTATGTCTCTATAAGCTTGGCACGTCTAGCCACTGGGATTTTTGCCCATTCTTCAAGGCAAAACTGCTCCAGCTCTTTCAAGTCGGATGGGTTCCACTTGTGTAAAGCAATCTGTGTACAGTCATACCACGGATTCTCAATTGGATTGAGGTCTGGCCTTTGACTAGGCCAATCCCCTTAAACCACTCGAGTGTTGCTTTAGCAGTACGCTTAGGGTCATTGTCCTGCTGGAAGGTGAACCTCTGTCCCAGTCTCAAATCTCTGGAAGACTGAAACATCCATCATTCCTTCAATTCTGATCAGTTTCCCAGTCCCTGCCAATTAAAATTGGATGGTGTTCTCAGGGTGATGAGAGGTATTGGGTTTGCGCCAGACATAGCGTTTTCCTTGATGGCCAAAAAGCTCAATTTTAGTCTCATCTGACAAGAGTACCTTGTTCCATATGTTTGGGGAGTCTCCCACATGGCTTTTGGCGAACACCAAACGTGTTTGCTTATTTTTTTCTTTAAGCAATGGCTTTTTTCTGGCCACTCTTCCGTAAAGCCCAGCTCTGTGGAGTGTACGGCTTAAAGTGGTCCTATGGACAGATACTCCAATCTCTGCTGTGGAGCTTTGCAGCTCCTTCAGGGTTATCTTTGGTCTCTTTGTTGCCTCTCTGATTAATGCCCTCCTTGCCTGGTCTGTGAGTTTTGGTGGGCGGCCCTCTCTTGGCAGGTTTGTTGTGGTGCCATATTCTTTTTTAATTATGGATTTAATGGGTGCTCCGTGGGATGTTCAAAGTTTCGGATATTGTTTTATAACTCAACCCTGATCTGTACTTCTCCACAACTTTGTCCCTGACCTGTTTGGAGAGCTCCTTGGTCTTCATGGTGCCCCTTGCTTAGTGGTGTTGCAGACTCTGGGGCCTTTCAGAACAGGTGTATAGATACTGAGATCATGTGACAGATCATGTGACACTTAGATTGCACACAGGTGGACTTTATTTAACTAATTATGTGACTTCTCAAGGTAATTAGTTGCACCAGATCTTATTTAGGGGCTTCATAGCAAAGGGCGTGAATACATATGCACGCACCACTTTTCCGTTATTTATTTTTTTTAATTTCTTGAACCAAGTAATTTTTTTCATTTCACATCACCAATTTGGACTATTTGGTATATGTCCATTACATGAAATCCAAATAAAAATCAATTTAAATTACAGGTTGTAATGCAACAAAATAGGAAAAACGCCAAAGGGGATGAATACTTTGCAAGGCACTGTAGCCATGCCTGTTCAATACAATACATTTTAGAACATTCTGTGACGTTCTTTGGAGCTTGATTGTCTGACTCCTCCCCTTTCTCCTATCTCTGTGATCTGATTGGACAGAGGAATATGAGAGCTCCACCCAGCTGCTGAGGACGAAGAGCGATGCTGGGGTTCTGAGGCGGGGCCAGCGCCGGTCGCCTAGCGACCAGAGAAGGATACGTCGACACCGCTTCTCCATCAACGGACACTTCTACAATCACAAGGTACACTCACACGCATGCACACACACACACACACACACCATAATACTGCAGCTAAACACTACTACAATGACAACATACTACCACAAATAAACTAATCTTGTCTCTCTCTCACTCAATCCTCTCACCCTCTCATAATTGTGCGGCCCCCATCGCCCCTTCAGACTGCAGTCTTCACTCCAGCGTATGGTTCAGTGACTAACGTGCGGATCAACAGTTGTATGACCACGCCCCAGGTGCTGCGAGTGCTACTTAACAAGTTTAAGATTGAGAACAGCCCAGATGACTTTGCGCTGTACCTTGTACACACCAGCGGGGGTGAGTGAGTGTGTTTGTTGTTGTGTGGTCTTGCATAGAGTTTAAAGCTGAAGCACTTTCTCTGTTTTGCAGGGTCCATGTTAGCAGTTTGTGTTTGTGTGTGTGTGTGTGTGCGTGTGCGCGAGAGTGCTGCAGCTCTGTGGCAAAACATGGCAATCTTCTAACATAACTTAAGCACACCCATTGTAATGCAGTAAAGGTCTGACAATGTTTTTTCTTTCAGAGCGTGTGAAGCTGAAGCGCAGTGACTACCCCCTGGTGCTGCGTGTGCTTCAGGGTCCATGTGAACAGGTCAGCAGAATCTTCCTGATGGAGCAGGACCTGGGAGAGGAAGTCACCTATGATGTAAGACTGCTGATGTGTAACTGCCAAATTATTCCCCACCCACTATACAACTGATAAATCATTCACCACTTCTCAGTACCCCTAAACTAAATCACATCCTCTGAATGGAATGTTCTGTCTGTCCCTTTTACTATTACAAAAGGGCTCAGTTCAATAGAACCTGCAGTGGGCTATTTATGCACTAAACTAGCAAAACCATAATTTACTTAAGTTAAGCTGCTTGGGGGGTTGCCAGCCAAGCCAATTAGCTGTCCTCAACAATGGCTTGACACCAGTTTGACAGTGTAGTCAATGGCCAAAAACGGACATAAGCTGTTATAACTATTTATGACCTCATTTATGTTATTATTATTATTATTACCACTACAGTATTGTGATTTCATAATAGTTGAGGGTCCAGGTCAAGTCTAGCTGTGTTTGTAACTGCATTTCTCTCTCCTCCCCACCAGGTGGCACAGTATATTAAGTTTGAGATGCCGGTGCTGCAGAGCTTCATCACCAAGCTGAAGGAGGAAGAGGACCGGGAGGTGCAGAAACTCAGGAGCAGGTGCAGTACTGGCAAAATCTCTGCAGTGGCAACATCTACCTCTAGCTGTGTCTATGGTGTCTCTCCAATGTACTGTGTGTTAATCTATCTCTCTCTCTCTCTCTCTCTCTCTCTATCTCTATCTCTATCTCTATCTCTGTCTGTCTGTCTGTCTCTGTGTGTATGTGTGTAGGTATACATATCTGCGGTGTATCATAGAGAAGCAGTTGCATTGTCTTCCTGAGGGGACCACCTGTATGTGACCTGGTTTAGCCACATCTTCACAAAACTTTCCCAAGATCTCCCAGACCTCCTCAGCGACCCCTCCCCACCCCTGACTCCATCCCAAGCACAAAACAGGAGTGACCAAGAACCACCCAGAGGCGAGGCACCCATTCCAACCTCACTTTATCTTCCAAGACCTCCGTAGGGACAGTGTACACATTGTGAAGCAAGCCACCCTCTTTCCTGATTCCTGCTGTTTCCGTACATACCATTTACAGACAGTACATACCCACAGGTCATAGAAGTCTGTTCAATCTAGTTTTGATTTGCATTTGGTTTAGTTGTCAACTAACGTGAATTGAACTTGAAATCAACAAACATTTTCTTTATAGGTGGTTGAAAAAAAGACTAAATGCCCTTACATTGATGACTTTTTGCAAATCCAATTAGTTTTCCGTGTTGATTCAACGTCATCACGTTGATTTTTGGGGTTGAAATGATGTGGAAACAACATTGATTCAATCCGTTTTTGCCCAGTGGGTATCCTCCTTGCCGTCCCCATCCCTTTCTGACATACCTGCCCCTCGGTAGTGTTATCTGCGTATTAACTGTACCATGTCAGCAATAATAATGGTTTGTGGTGAAGGTAAAGGCTGGCACTTTTCATATGGGGGTCTGTATGGGGCATTGAGCCTTCCCCATGTTCTAACATACCACTCAGATGCACAAGAATTTAAAGCACAAATCCAGCTTTCTCAGTTCTTTTGAGTTAGACAGCACTTGATCTCTCGCTCTCTAATTTTCCTTTTATCATTCAACAATTTTGCCACCTGCAGATAACTAAACTTGTCTCACCTTTACATCTCTCTCAAAACCAGAACATACCTCAGACTCAGTGACATCACACGCTAGATGGGTTTCTCACCCAGCCAGTCAGTGAGGGAGTTGAATGACTCCTGTCCTGTGACAGTATGTGATATTGAAACATGCCTGTCACGCCAGTGTGTTACAGGACTCTCTTTATGATCAGCTCTACTGAGGCTGTAACTGTAATGTAACTTCATGATTGTCCACAGTTAATCTGAAACCACCCCCTAACCTGTTCTATTGGATGTCAAAAACATGTAAGGATTTCTGTTACCTGTGTGTTACGCCTCGATCAGACCGACAGCGTCATTGCATCAATGCTGCGTAATAAATTCTGCAGTCAAACTTTTTCCAATATGTAATCCAACATTTGTACTGGATATGTGTGCAACAAAAGTTCAACATTCACCTTTTGCTACTATTTCTGTCAAGTCTATGCATACAATTTGATGCATACGTTGGATTTATCCAACGTATGCACCACACAGAACACAGAACGCACTGCAACTGCCTCTGCAACGCAATGCTGCAAAGCAAACGCAGCGTTCCATTGGAAATGAATGTACTACTGATGTACCAAAACGCAATGACGCTGTCGGTCGGATCGAGGCGTTAACCTCGCCTGCCAGGGTTATAATCACATGGTGTGAAATGACCTGTGTGTCTACAAACACCTGGAGACTGAAGCACAAAACAGAGAGAGGACCAGAGTTCCTTAAGATTGTGAATTATGTAGATGATGGATCAACTACAATAGCTCAAACGAGGGAATGTTGTGTGTGTGTGCACGGCATATCTAAAGCAGTACTTAGTTGCCTTGTAGATATTGATCTGTGTGAGTGTGTGTGTATGACTGCATACAGGACTTTGAGATGTGGTACAACAATTCTATTACACCTATATCTACCCTCAGCTTTTAAAAGGTTGCTGTATATTGTTTGTGAGCGCTTGTGCGTGTGTGCGTGCATTGTTTGTCCTTTCAATTTCTATTGCTCTTTCAAGACTGACACGTTTATTTCATGATATTTTAGCTGTTGTAATGTTGCTTTCTGACTTAGTACACTTTTTTTGAGGACACCCTCTTCAAAATCAAAGACATGTCCCTATTTGGAAATGTAGCTTTTTTACAATAATGATTATTATTTAATAAAGAGTTATCTTGAAGCCAATTTGGTCTATCCTTTTCTGGGTCAGTGGGTAGAAACCATGTCATCTTGGTTGTATAATACTTGTTGAATCATGTATAATATGTAAAGATATGATGTGATGCCATTTTATATACTGTGTCTTACATAGAACATAAGTAATTTAAAGCTGTATGATATAACTCTGGAGTATTTCTGTCGGTTGTTTTGGTGGGCTTTGAGGCTTACAGTAACTGCAGGCTGAACACACACACACACAGGTTATCAAAGTGTGCAGGTATTTCTGTCTGTACAGTGTTGGTGGGGCAGGGCTTACCGTAACACTACAGTGTTAGCAGGGATGAGCATCATTGTTTATCCTGCTCAGCCAATGAGGAGGTCAGAGATAGATCCCCTCTACATAGCTGAAATCGTCCGGAGGTTGAAAAGATCCGTCCGACACATTCTCTCTCCCTGACAGTCACAGGAGAGAGCCAAGAGGACAACAGGACTAGCAACGGACATCCTCTGACCGGTCTGTGATTTTCTTCAGCTCTTCGCCAACATCTACAGGTAAGAGTTTCACCTCTCACTACTGCTTTTTGCTCATCATCCTATCATTTCTGAAGATCTTTAAATCTGTGTTGTTGATGATGTAGTATACTGTAACTTATCTGGCATTTGAAAATACAAATATCAAGATGCATGTCATTATTTAATGCAGGTCAGTGGGGAAAAAAAGTATTTAGTCAGCCACCAATTGTGCAAGTTCTCCCACTTAAAAAGATGAGAGAGGCCTGTAATTTTCATCATAGGTACACATCAACTATGACATACAAATTGAGAAAAAAAATGTTTCAACTCCCTCCAAAGATTTTCTATGGGGTTGAGATCTGGAGACTGGCTAGGCCACTCCAGGACCTTGAAATGCTTCTTACGAAGCCACTCCTTCGTTGCCTGGGCGGTGTGTTCGGGATCATTGTCATGCTGAATGACCCAGCCACGTTTCATCTTCAATGCCCTTGCTGATGGAAGGAGGTTTTCACTCAAAATCTCACGATACATGGCCCCATTCATTCTTTCCTTTACACGGATCAGTCGTCCTGGTCCCTTTGCAGAAAAACAGCCCCAAAGCATGATGTTTCCACCCCCATGCTTCACAGTAGGTATGGTGTTCTTTGGATGCAACTCAGCATTCTTTGTCCTCCAAACACGACGAGTTGAGTTTTTACCAAAAAGTTATATTTTGGTTTCATCTGACCATATGACATTCTCCCAATCCTCTTCTGGATCATCCAAATGCACTCTAGCAAACTTCAGACGGGCCTGGACATGTACTGACTTAAGCAGGGGGCACTGCAGGATTTGAGTCCCTGGCGGCATAGTGTGTTACTGATGGTAGGCTTTGTTACTTTGGTCCCAGCTCTCTGCAGGTCATTCACTAGGTCCCCCCGTGTGGTTCTGGGATTTTTGCTCACCGTTCTTGTGATCATTTTGACCCCACGGGGTGAGATCTTGCGTGGAGCCCCAGATCGAGGGAGATTATCAGTGGTCTTGTATGTCTTCCATTTCCTAATAATTGCTCCCACAGTTGATTTCTTCAAACCAAGCTGCTTACCTATTGCAGATTCAGTCTTCCCAGCCTGGTGCAGGTCTACAATTTTGTTTCTGGTGTCCTTTGACAGCTCTTTGGTCTTGGCCATAGTGGAGTTTGGAGTGTGACTGTTTGAGGTTGTGGACAGGTGTCTTTTATACTGATCACAAGTTCAAACAGGTGCCATTAATACAGGTAACGAGTGGAGGACAGAGGAGCCTCTTAAAGAAGAAGTTACAGGTCTGTGAGAGCCAGAAATCTTGCTTGTTTGTAGGTGACCAAATACTTATTTCCCACCATAATTTGCAAATAAATTCATAAAAAATCCAGCAATGTGATTTTCTGGATTTTTTTCTCTCAATTTGTCTGTCATAGTTGACGTGTACCTATGATGAAAATTACAGGCCTCTCTCATCTTTTTAAGTGGGAGAACTTGCACAATTGGTGGCTGACTAAATACTTTTTTTCCCCACTGTACATCAATTGTGTCCTTAGTGTTATTTGCCATTTGTTTGACCCAGTTGTAGTGTCACTTGTATAACTCATTCTATAGGGGTCAAATGTCCATTGGATAAGTTTTACATAGACATTTACTGCATGCCTAAACAGTTACCAAAAGTTCTGAATGAACCAGGAGGGCAGTTCTAGAACTCTGTGTTCTGAATGAACCAGCATTCTAGAACTCTCTACGTAACACAGTAGGTCATCTTGGAAACTGGAAAGCTACTGTGTGGGATTATTCTAAAGCCAAAAGGCTATTGATAAGTATAGCCTTCGAGCCAAGGACACAGATTACACTGTAATGCTGTGTGATGATGATGGGGAGAGAGGACAGACAGACAATCTTAGGGGGGGACATTGATTACGGTGGTAAAGATGCCTGAGTAAGAGTGACAGAGAGACAGAGACAGAAGAGAGAGATGCACAGAGAAATTAGAGGGAGATAGAGGAAGTAGAGAGACGGATTATGGACGTAAAGAAAAACTTTGTGATTATTGAGATGATGATATGGTAATTATAAAGTTAATCTGTTATGGCATTGGTCTAGTGGTCATCCCCTGATCTAGTACAAAATATATATCCTGGGTTTTGAAAAACAAAAACAAGGGGATTGACAAGGATTATTGTCAACTCGCACTGCAAAAGGTTTCAGAGACAATGTTGACCGGAAAAAGTCTCCCTTCAATCCCCTTGTTGTTTTTCATAGATCTTCCTCTGACAGACTAGAACCAGAGTTGATACCAACCTGAGTTTATATCCTGGCTTCTCAATGCACTGAAGCCAGAAATCCTATGTTGACTCGTTAGATCCTATCTATGCTATAGTGTTGACTTCTCATGGCTCTTGTATAACACTTCTCTGACAAAGCTGGATTAGCAGGGCCAGCTTGCTGTTAATTTGTCTCTAGCGAAAAAATAACCCTTACTAGGCACATTCTCAAAGCATGCAGTGACGAGAACATTAGTGTGTTCTACCATATTAAAAAGTATGTGTGTGTGTGTACATTGTGTTCAACCATACTAATCACTGGACAGACTTTCTAGACTAGCTGATGAATGCAGGCGTTACATCACTGTGGGGGTCTAACGGCTGGAGGCTCACAGATCTGGGATCATGCTCATGTTCATGTCTTGTTCTCATCTTGGTAATGACCAAGCACTAGTGTGGAAATGTGGGATATGCTCATCACAAACTCTTCATGTTCTTGTCTTCACAGGGAACTATGATGATTGGCCAACTGAGACTTCTCCTCACCATGGCAACCTGCCTATTGCTCCTAGCAACCCTATGCCCCACCTCAGAGGCTCGACGTGGTGGGGGCTTTGGACGTAGTGGTGGTGGGGGGTGGGGAGGTAGTAGCCGTGGAGGTAGCGGTTATCCTCGTCAAGGTGGAGGCACGGGATACCGACCAATGCCATCCTCGAGTGGTCCAGCATACCGACCAATGCCTGCCCAGAGTGGAGGCTCCAGTGCGGGGAAGATGGCAGGGGCTGCTGCTGCTGGTGCCCTGGGGGGAGCAATGCTGGGCAGTGCCCTGAGTCGTCCTGGCTATGGAGGAGGATATGGGGGGTATGGAGGTGGTTATGGGGGTGGTTATGGAGGAGGCTATGGGGGGTACCCCAGAGCTGGAGGGTATGGCCCCAGGCCTGGTGGCTATGAGGGACCAGAGGGCTCTGGGGATATGGAGTACTACTATGGAGCATCCAGCGGGCCCATCTATAACAGCATCATCGTCATCATTGGGTCGCTAATGTCACTGGTGATGGGGCACTGGATGGGAGTGATGTAGAGATGGAGTGAAGAGGAAGAGAGGGATGGAGTCACGACTAAAGAGAGACCCAGACCAAGACCATGTGTATACAGTATAAAGACTCTTGAGACCCAGACCAAAACTAGACCCCAGACCTAGACCAAGACCTTGGGCATTGAGTCCCAAACCATGACTGAACACTGAGCTCACAGGTTGTGATTCCATCTGATTTGACTCACAGGCGTAGTGGAGCAAATACACTTCCTGTATAGTTCCCTGATCCAGACAGACTCTGATGCAGATTCTTTGTCAACTAACTATTTGCACAACATTTGTTTTCTGAGACATACTTACACCACATACACATATCTAGTGTGATAGTTTATCTTCCAGTCGAGCACTCACTACCTCAATAAAGCAGTAAGTAGTACATGATTTACTTTATATTTTCTTTACCATGGTTGTTATCAACGTTTTAATATTGCCAAGCCGTGGACATACAGTATGAAGGTAAATCATACTGTTATAACTCAGGTTATAGCTCAGGTTTCACTGATTTCAACCCCTAGTAGAACACTTGCAGCATTTGGATTTGTACATTCTGTGTATTGTACAATTCTATGAATTGTATTTTGTTTCCATTATTTTTCTTACTTTATTAAATAGGATATTTGTTTGGGTGAGTGGAGTGTATAAATTCTAGTATGAACAAAATAACTTGTTCCATGTTTTGTTTTGGTGTCATTTGATGAATTTGATGTATTTTTCCTGTGGGGTTATTCCAATAAAAACATGGGAGACAGAGATGTAAATGTATTCATTTATGTTCTTGACTATAATCAGACTGTGAAGAGGAACTATCATCAGCTCATTAAAATGAGAATGTGTCAGTTCAGATAGTAGTAATATTTAGATGTGGCTTTTGATGACAGACTAAACATTCAAAGTCATGTCAGTACCTGTACAACAATCAACAGTCAATCAAGGATAGTTCTAGAAGGCAGATTGGATTCTAGAATCTGAAATCTGTTCTTGGGAATTTGTGAATGGCTCTATCTAGGCCATTCATTGAAGTCGATCTCCATTAAAAATACGATTAGGAACCCGACTCACACAGTGGAGGTATTCATAGCCATGGTTAATGGTTTTAGACAGAGTATCATTGGGTTGTAATGCTATTGTTATGACACAAATGTTGACGTGCACCGGGTATGTTGGTCAGCAGTCAATAATAGGATGTCCCATGACTAAACACTCACTGTCTGATTCTGGTAACGTGGCAGGTCTCCTGGCTGTCAGGCTGTAATACAGTCACTTCATCACCAGGTGGAGACATGAGAGAACTGGAAGAATACAGGTTACCTGTTAGTTTACCCCATAGGTCAGTTTCATTATGGAAATGATCCTCCTAATAAGTCTATCCCACTCATGCAATTATGGATGGTAGACCTACACGTTGCTACTTGCTACTGCCCTGATTATCTGGAGGAACAGTATGTTGATATTTATTGACTTGTTATTAATAATGTTGATCATGATTAATGTAGAAAATAAGTAGTGAGAACTATAGAGAACTTTTCTCAAATGTATTTTCTCTCAGAACGAGAGAGTACGATAAATGGTTTGTGCTTGACTTGTAGCCAGAATGTTCAGGCATCCTAATACGCAAATAAGGGGGTTAACTTATTCCTCTCCATTTTCCCTCTCTCCCCCTCCCCTTATTTCTGTTCCTTTCACTTTTAATAGCCATGCTTCATTTCAGGACCAAGTTCTAAGCTACCTAGCAACAGCATGCACTATGCAGGCTGTAGTTATGGTTACATCCCCGGGGAATCATATGGTGTCCATTAAAAGAGATGAAGGCCTAGCAACAATAGTCATTCTGTTTCTGTATTATAGCCAAGGCTATTGATTGATCAAACACATAAAACAAAGAGAAAATGATTTGACAAGACATCCTACAGATAAAATAAATAATATTTTTGATTCTCCGAGGTCAGACTTTTAGTACAAATGTAGCCGTCTTCCCACAGCTTATCCAACATGAAAGCCGGTATAAAAGACGGCGAAGAAACAAGTCCCGAAGATTAATTTTGTAAAGTAAAATCTAAGTGTGATGTGACCATCTTTTAAGCCACATGTGAAGCCCTGTATGAACAACGCTTACCTGCTTTTACCGATGTCCCTGTTTGTCTTTATTAAATAATTGTCTCTCTAACCTCAGATATAGTTATTTTCTATTATTTTAATGACATATTAACCCATATATTCCACCTGATGTTGCGCTGATAGCAGAAAACCATTCAGATACCATGGTTGTTCTCTTCATTCCTGCAGAAATTAGAAACTGTAACTTAAAGATGAATTGGATTCTATTAATAAACTGTGGGTTAGAACTATAAATGTTCAGAAATGTAACACTCATTGCACAGCCTCATTCCTCATTTGTCAAATGTTTCTATCCATTTGACAAACATTGCTATCTTGATTTCACTTTTGTATGGAAGTGCTAAAAGTTTGGTCATATGCTCTGATGAGGTCAGAAGACTGAAATGTTACAACAAAAACGGTGGGGAAACCGTTGAAACTAAATAACCACAATGTTAGAGACACATAAGAGATAAAGATGACACCAAGCCCCGATACAGGAGGATTGGTTCAGATAACCTGAGAGCCATCCATTTAATAGGATATCAGTGGGTGAATGACAAGGGATGCAAGCACACATCTGGCAAATGTGTCAGGTCCTAAAGAAAATTCTAAAGAAGCTCCCACTGCTTACTTTCAACTGTTTCCCCACCTTTTTTGTTGTAACTTTTCAGTCTTCTGACCTCATCAGAGCATATGACCAAACTTTTAGCACTTCCATACAAAAGTGAAATCAAGATAGCAATGTTTGTCAAATGGATAGAAACATTTGACAAATGAGGAATGAGGCTGTGCAATGAGTGTTACATTTCTGAACATTTATAGTTCTAACCCACAGTTTATTAATAGAATCCAATTCATCTTTAAGTTACAGTTTCTAATTTCTGCAGGAATGAAGAGAACAACCAGGGTATCTGAATGGTTTTCTGCTATCAGCACAACATCAGTTGGAATATATGGGTTAATATGTCATTAAAATAATAGAAAATAACTATATCTGAGGTTAGAGAGACAATTATTTAATAAAGACAAACAGGGACATCGGTAAAAGTGCAGGTAAGCGTTGTTCATAATGTTGTCATAATTTGCCAGCACTCTGATGCACAACAATGTTGTGTCCACAGAGCAGTCATAACAAGATACTTGAGCCAAACCACACAAACATAAACCTGGGCCACGTTCAGTAGCCAAACGTTGTCGAATGTTGCACATAGAAACCCATGAATAGAGCCAACATTATTCCTTGGTCTACATGTCGGAGAGGCATGTTTGTTCTACATTACATATTACTATCTGAACGTTCCAAAACATTGTGTCCTGTTGAACGCACCCCAGGGCACAGACCGGTAGGCGAAAATAAAAAAACACTAATACATGCTGAAGAAATCCTTGAATAAGGGCTGTCCTACTGAGCCTTAAGGGGAGTGAGGGCCACAGTGAAAAGAGACAGATTTCAGAAGAGGAAAGGAAACACACAGGTGGAAGTATTTACATAAACACAGTATGCACGCCCATACATTCAAGGCCCAAGACAATGTAGAAACAGTTTGTGACGTGATGGTAAACAAGGAACGTTTATATCCAATATAGTCCAAAAGGATTCAAACTTTATGTCCATAAGAAATTCAATGAATACACCCCAACACATACAGTATAACAATTTAGACTTCAATCCAGTCACTTCTCTCCATATATCTGATTAGAACGCCCATCTAACGTTATAATTTACCTTGGTTTTACCAGGTACCAAGTTGACTAAGACCCTGACTTTAAAGTGGACAGTGTTTGTCTGAATCCATATCCTTTGGCTTGTAGGGCTGCTGCTACAGTGGCCTGGTTCAAAGCCTGGTTGGGCCTAGACAATAAGAGCACTTATAGTACAATCTACAGTCACCACCCCAGAGAGGGAAGCAAGTCACTATCAAGTGGAAGGAGGGCCCTCGGAGTCAGAGCAGAGAAAGAAATCAGGTTTTCGCAAGTGTTTTTGAGCACATGCAGCTAACTTGACATACAGTATAATACCAAAACAAAATCAAATAAATAAATCCACTGAATAGTGTGAAAAGAAATAACCACAACGTTAGAGACACATAAGAGATAAAGATGACACCAAGCCCCGATACAGGAGGATTGGTTCAGATAACCTGAGAGCCATCCATTTAATAGGATATCAGTGGGTGAATGACAAGGGATGCAAGCACACATCTGACAAGAGTCTCTGGCAAATGTGTCAGGTCCTAAAGAAAATTATAAAAGAAGCTCCCACTGCTTACTTTCAACTGTTTCCCCACCTGTTTTGTTGTAACATTTCAGTCTTCTGACCTCATCAGAGCATATGACCAAACTTTTAGCACTTCCATACAAAAGTGAAATCAAGATAGCAATGTTTGTCAAATGGATAGAAACATGTCTCATTCTCTGCCCATAGAGCCAGCTAATGTGATGTAAAAAAAATCCACTCAATTTATCAATAATAAAAGTCCACTTATGATGGAGAGTCCTGAGCTGTTGTTCAAAGGAGGATGAGAGGAGAAGATACACTGTCCCAGCATCCCTCTATCCTTGCATCCCTCCATCAGCCCCAATCCTGACTCTGACTCACAGGGTGTGACAGCAAACAGTGTCCTTTCTCCTTCTCTCCCTCTATCTGTCTCTCCGTCTGCTCTCTCTCTGTTTCTTTCTCTCTCTGTCTCAGTGCAGTAGTAGCAGGTTGCTGTTCAGTAGAGGTAGTGCAGTAGAGGTGAGTACAGTCATCAGTCCCTGGTATCCTCCTCCCAATCTCTCCACTCCTCCTCTGGGTCTTGCCCGGGGCGGGTTCTTCTTGTTCTTCTGCTTCTTTTTCTCCAGGTAGCATTCTGCGTACACCATATAGAGCTCCACACACCTCCGAGCCTTCATCTGCTCTATCAGCTCTGGATAGCCAATCTCAGAGATGCTCACTGTATCTTCATCATCATCATCATCATCATCGTCAGGCACAGCTACGGTCGGGGGGAGGGGCTTGTCTGCAGCAGGGGGGGTTTGAGGGTTAGGGTTCAGGTGTCACAGGATTCTCGGATGCAGCTGTACCGTTACTCTCAGCTGTGACGTTACTCTCACTGGGACTGCCTGTGGCGGAGCTCTTATTGGGGCCACTGCCTGGTGCTGGGGTGGAGCCGGGGTCTGTGGTATTGGTGGAACCTCCAGGGACAGGGGCTGGCTCTGCAATCTTCTCCCCGCCTGCAGTTCCTCCTCCACTGGGTTCAATTCCCTGAGTGCTGGGGCTTTCTGGAGCTCCGTGTGGGGGTGCATTCTCCCCAACTCCTTTCTCTGATCTACCCTTCTCCCCACCTCTCAGCAGGTCAGTCCTCTTCATACAGGTCTCCATGAAGTTATCGTAGGACTGTGGAGGCGGGCTGAAGCAGTAGTCCCTGCTGTAGTCATTATCATCAGTGGATTTGGTGCCGTACCTCCTGTACATGTAGTGGTTATAGTAGTACTCCTCCTGGGGGTTGTGGAAGCCGAAGTGAGGCCGGGGGAACCGGCCCAGTCCATAGCCCAGAGCCATCACAGCCACGACCCCAGTCCCGGCCGCCATCGCTGCGTTACGCCCAAACCCCCTGGACTGCAGCGAGGGGCCCATCCCCATCCCCTGCACCGAGCGGGAGAACGGGGAGCCACCTGCACCACCATACCCCCCGTAGCCGGGGCTAAGGATCCAGTTGTTGGGGTTTTGGTTCATGTAGCCCCCTCCGTAACCGCCACCATAGCCTCCACCATATCCCCCTCCATAGCCTCCACCATACTGGTTTGGATATCCTCCAGCAGGGTACCCACCATGGTTAGGGTATCCTGCCCTGCCTGGCTGTTGAGGGTAGCCCCCTGGTTGCTGGGGGTACCCTCCTTGAGGGTTCTGAGGACTCTGGGGCTGGCGGGGGTTGTTCCCTGGCTGGTTGTTGGTCCCTTGGTTGGGTCTGCGCTGGGTGTTGGTGCCTCTGCGGTTGGAGGTGGAGGAGGATTTCTTACCTATGCTGGATTTACCACCAAAGCTTCCTCCCCCTCGCCTGGCCAGGGAGAAGTGGGCATGGAGCAGCAGGAAGAGACAGGCACAGCACGGCCAGAGGAGAGCTGAGCTTCATCATTACTGCACTGCAGAGACAGAGAGAGATAGAAAGGGAGAAAGAGAGCGATAAGGGAAGGAGAAGAAGAGAGTTAGAATGTCTATTAGCTAGAGTCCGTTTCTCCTTCTGACCAGCCCCAACAGTTCGGTCTCCGTGGTGATATTGCTGAACTTGAGAATTACAGTGCATTCGGAAAGTATTCAGACCCCTTGACCACATTTTGTTACATTACAGCCTTATTCTAGAATTGATTAAATTGCTTTTTCCCCTCATCTATCTACACATAATACCCCATAATGACCAAGCAAGAATAGGTTTTTAGAAATTGTTGCTAATTTATTAAAAAATAAAAAACTGAAATATCACATTTACATAAGTATTCAGACAATTTACTCAGTACTTTGTTGAAGCACCTTTGGTAGCGATTATAGCCTTGAGTCTTCTTGGGTACGATGCTACAAGCTTGGCACACCTGTATTTGGGGATATTCTCCCCCATTCTTCTCTGCAGATCCTCTTAAGCTCTGTCAGGTTGGATGTGGAGCGTCGCTGCCCAGCTATTTTCAGGTCTCTTCAGAGATGTTCGATCGGGTTCAAGTCCGGGCTCTGGCTGGGCCACTCAAGGACATTCAGGAGACTTGCCACGAAGCCACTCCTGCGTTGTCTTGGCTGTGTGCTTAGTGTCGTTGTCCTGTTAGAAGGTTGAACCTTCACCCCAGTCTGAGGTCCTGAGTGCTCTGGAGCAGGTTCTCATCAAGGATCTCTCTGTACTTTGCTCCGTTCATCATTGCCTCGATCCTGACTAGTCTCCCAGTCCCTGCCGCTGAAAAACATCCCCACAGCACGATGCTGCTAGTCTCCCAGTCCCTGCCGCTGAAAAACATCCCCACAGCACGATGCTGCCACAACGATGCTTCACCGTAGGGATGGTGCCAGGTTTCCTCCAGACGTGACGCTTGACATTCAGGCCAAAGAGTTCAATCTTGGTTTCATCAGACCAGAGAATCTTGTTTCTCATGGTCTGAGAGTCTTTTGGTGCCTTTTGGCAAACTCCAAGCGGGCTGTCATGTGCCTTTTACTGAGGAGTGGCTTCCGTCTGGCCACTCTACCATAAAGGCCTGATTGGTGGAGTGCTGCAGAGATGGTTGTCCTTCTGGAAGGTTCTCCCATCTCCACAGAGGAACTCTAGAGCTCTGTCAGAGTGACCATCGGGTTCTTGGTCACCTCCCTGACCAAGGCCCTTCTCCCGCGATTGCTCAGTTTGGCCGGGCGGACAGCTCTAGGAAGAGTCTTGGTGGTTCCAAACTTCTTCCATTTAAGAATGATAGAGGCCACTGTGTTCTTGGGGACCTTCAATGATGCAGACATTTTTTGGTACCCATCCCCAGATCTGTTCCTTTGACCTCATGGCTTGGTTTTTGCTCTGGCAAGCACTGTCAACTGTGGGACCTTATATAGACAGGTGTGTGCCTTTCCAAATCATGTCCAATCAGTTAAATTTACCACAGGTGGACTTCAATGAAGTTGTAGAAACATCTCAAGGATGATCAATGGAAACAGGATGCACCTGAGCTTAATTTCGAGTATAATAGCAAAGGGTCTGAACACTTACGTAAAACACTTTTTTGGTTACTACATGATTCCATATGTGTTATTTCATAGTTTTGATGTCTTCACTATTATTCTACAATGTAGAAAATAGTAAAAATAAAGAAAAACCCTGGAATGAGTAGGTGTGTCCAAACTTTTGACTGGTACTGTACTTAAGTATCAAAAGTAAAAGTACAAGTTTAAATCATTTCAAATTCCTTATAATAAGCAAAGCAGACAGCCACATTTTCTAGTTTTTTTAATTTACAGATAGCCAGGGGTACAATCCAACACTCAGACATAATTTACAAACTAAGCATGTGTTTAGTGAGTCCGCCAGATCAGAGGCAGTAGGGATGACCAGGGAAGTTCTCTTAATAATATGTGAATTAGACCACATTTTCCTGTCCTTCTAAGCATTCAAAATGTAACGAGTACTTTTGGGTGTCAGGGAAAATGTACGGAGTAAAAAGTACATTATTTTCATTAGGAATGTAGTGAAGTAAAAGTAAAAGTTGTCAAAAATATAAATAGTACAGATACCCCAAAAAACGACTTAAGTAGTACTTTCAAGTATTTTTACTTAAGTACTTTACACCACTGCATGAGATTAGCTACAAACATGCACATGTTTCTCTATGCCCCATGGCAGAATGTGTAGAATTGCAGGAAATTAGCTTTAAAACAGCAACATTTTCTCTCAGCCTAATGGGAAAATGTGTAGAATAGCGAAGGATTTAGGTTGGTCATTTGTATTTGTATTTATTATGGATCCCCATTAGCTGTTGCCAAGGCAGCAGCTACTCTTCCTGGGGTCCAGCAACATTGTCACGAACGTCGTATGAAGGAGTGGACCAAAGCGCAGCGTTAGTTGCGAACATACTTGCTTTATTTAATTAAAGCATACACACGAAATAACAAAACAATAAACGACTCGTGAAGTCCTCAGTGACAATGACCGAACACGGAACAAAAACCCACAAACACAAAGTGAAACACAGACAGTTAAATATGGCTCCCAATCAGAGACAACCAGCACACAGCTGACACTCGTTGCCTCTGATTGGGAGTCACTCAGTCAAACATAGAAATAAACAACCTAGAACACCCAACATAGAAACAGAAAACATAGAATGAACACACCCTGGCTCAACATAATGAGTCCCAGAGCCAGGGTGTGACAAACATTAAGGCAGTTATACAATTTTTAAAACATTACAATACATTCACAACAGATTTCACAACACATTAAGTGCGTGCCCTCAGACCACTACTCTACTGCCACATATCTACTGCCAAAATCCATGTGTACGTGTGTGTGTAGTGCATATGTTATCGTGTGTGTATGCATGTGTCTGTGCCTGTGTTTGTGTCTCTTCACAGTCCCCGCTGTTTTTTAAATTAAATTTTACTGCTTGCATGAGTTACTTGATGTGGAATAGAGTTCCATATAGTCATGGCTATATGTAGTACTGTGCGCCTCCCATAGTCTGTTCTGGACTTGGGGACAGTGAAGAGACCTCTGGTGGCATGTCTTGTAGGGTATGCATGGGTGTCCGAGCTGTGTGCCAGTAGTTCAAACAGACAGCTTGGTGCTTTCAACATGTCAATACCTCTCACAAATACAAGTAGTGATGAGGTCAATCTCTCCTCCACTTTGAGCCAGGAGAGATTGACATGCATATTATTAATGTTAGCTCTCTGTGTACATCCAAGGGCCAGCCGTGCTGCCCTGTTCTGAGCCAATTGCAATTTTCCTAAGTCCCTCTTGGTGGCACCTGACCACACGACTGAACAGTAGTCCAGGTGCGACAAAACTAGGGCCTGTAGGACCTGCCTTGTTGATAGTGCTGTTAAGAAGGCAGAGCAGCGCTTTATTATGGACAGACTTCTCCCCATGTTAGCTACTGTTGTATCAATATGTTTTGATCATGACAGTTTACAATCCAGGGTTACTCCAAGCAGTTTAGTCACCTCAACTTGCTCAATTTCCACATTATTCATTACAATATTTAGTTGTGGTTTAGTGAATGATTTGTCCCAAATACAATGCTTTCAGTTTTTGAAATATTTAGAATGTATCCCTTGCCACCCATTCTGAAACTAACTGCAGCTCTTTGTTAAGTGTTGCAGTCATTTCAGCCGCTGTAGTAGCTGACGTGTATAGTGTTGAGTCATCCGCATACATAGACACACTGTCTTTACTCAAAGCCAGTGGCATGTCGTTAGTAAAGATTGAAAAAGATTGTAAGGGGCCTAGACAGCTGCCCTGGGGAATTCCTGATTCTACCTGGATTATGTTGGGGAGGTAACTCTTTATCCACAATATAGCAGGGGGTGTAAAGCCATAACACATACGTTTTTCCAGCAGCACACTATGCTTACCACAAAACAATTTGGGAACCAGACACGGCTCTTGGGTCAGTTGGGTAGCCTTAGCATTAAAATAGATCCTCGGAAGTGTCACACACTATATCATGACAAGTAGTGTGAGTCCCAAATGGCACCCTATTCCCTATATAGTGCACTACCTTTGACCAGACACCTGTAATGCACTATATACCCAGTGCCATGCGGGACCGTAGAGGTAGTAGACTCTCATGTAACTAAGCCTCAATACCTCTCTCTGCTGGTCTAATTTATAAATGCAGAACCCCCCCCCCATTGCCCTTGAAATACAGGTAATGGCACCCTCTGCTGCTTCTAGTCAGAAAGGCATTGTGTTATACCATCATCTGGTCCCAATTCCAATAACTATTTAATGTTTGCAGATCTGCAAGGTGGAAACAATATTGTGGAAGCTCCACCACTACACTACTTTTACCTATCCAGACATGTCAGGTCTGCAAGCATGAAAGGGTTAGGACCTAGGGGAAGGGATAGGGAGCAAATTGGAATTGTGCCCATTAAGTATCCAAAAAGATATCCCCTCATCCATTAATGATAAAGAATGGTACTAGGATATAACTAGAACCAGATGTAACTTTGCTTTCTTGGGCTGTCTAAATTCTCCACCCTTTTCCTTGCACACTGCTTGCCATGGATTTAAAAGCATAGGTTTGGTGTAAATTGGCTGGAGGGAGTTTACACCATTGTAAAATCCATGTGAGAAATTGTGCATGTGTGTCCTTAACATTTAACCCTCACACATGCTGAAGCTTTATGTATGTAAGCACCTCCTAGCCTGTCAGTAGCTGGGCCAGATATCCATAGTGCCAGATATCTGTAGCAGCAAAAGTGTGTTACCAAAAATAAAGACACAGGACTCAAGTGTAAAGGGTTTTTATAAATGTAATGCTGTAGATTCTGAACTTCATCTCCCAAGCAGACATTTGACACCGTAGAATGATGAA